GTCTACGAATTTCCTATTTCCGGTCTCTATCTTCGGTCCCGTTCTCGGTTTCTCTGCTATCTCCCTCCTTTTATCTCACGTTCTTCCTTTCATTCTTTCCCTCTCCCTCCCTCCTCAAAAAAAAACAGAAACAAAGATATATTTAAATCCACGCTGAGACCTCGAAGCAACGGTGAGACATGTGAGGGTACAAAAAGGGAGGAAAATTTGAACAAAAGGAAGAATAAAAGTTTCTTGTATCTACCTCTCTATCCTATGCCCCTCCCCACCCCACCCACCCCCGCCTATCCTCCTCCTCCTCCTCCTATCCTCACCAGAGTGTCAAGCAAGGATCATGCAACAGCGGGACCATACAGTGTGTAGGGAGGATGAACGCGTGGCCAGCATGATGCAACACGGTGGGGGAGAGGGGGGGGAGAAAGGTGGGGGAGGGAGGGGGGCAAGGGAAGGAGCGACGCACGGAAAAGAAAATGAAACAAACGACAAAGAGGCGGCAACGAAAGGGCATGCAAGACGTGAAGACGAAAGACGAGCCTCGAGAGGGCGCCATCCGCGGGGACTCGCTCTGCCTGCCCCAGCGCCATCGGCCGGGGACTGAAGGGGGCGAAGGGCCCGCGAGCGGCGTCGCCGCCGATGGCTCCCTCTCCTCCCTCTCGTGCTCCCCCCGGCGCATGCGGTGCCCCACTCACCTGCGGCTTGTTGTCCCAGAAGTCCAGCGACTTGGGCCTCTGGTCGCCGTCGGAGTCGTCGGACGAGTCCACCATGCGCCTCCCGCCGCCGCCGCCGCCGTCGCCGCTGCCGCACCCCCGGCCCCCTCCGCCGCCGCCGCCGCCGATCTTGGCGTAGGCCGAGGACGCGCGCGGCCGCCGCGGCAGCGTCTGGGCGTTGCGGTCCCGGAGGTTCTCGTTGCGGTCGCGCAAGTTGTCGTTGCGGTGGCGGTGGTGGTCGCGGTCGGCCCAGGAGGCGTTGTCGTGGTGGTGGCGGTAGATGGTGTGGTAGTGGTGGTCGCGCGCGTGGCCGTCGCCGTGCCGCCGCTCGCCCCGCTCGCGCAGCGTCTCGTAGCGCTCCTTCAGGTTCTCGTAGCGGTGCACCGTGTTCTCGTACACGTGCGGGTCACGTGACTTGGACGTGCGGCGGCTCTTGACGGGCTTGAACGAGATCGTGCCGTACACCTGTCGGGAGGGGGGGTGGAGGAAGAGGGAGGAAGGGGAGGAGGAGGGAGGAAAGGGGGGGAAGGGGAAGAGGGAGGAAGCGGAGGGGGAAGAAGGAGGAAGGGGAGGGGGAAGAAGGAGAAAGGGAAGGGGGAAGGAGGAAAGTGGAGGGTAAGAGGGAGGAAGAGGAGAACGGGAGGAAATGAAGGGCACAGAGGAACACGGACACGGTGACACAGGAGGGAAAGGGAATGGAAAAGGGGAAACAACAAAAAAAAGGACACGGGAGGGACACGGAGAGGTGGGCGGGGCACAAAGAACAAACAAAACTAAGATCAATCTGTAGAGCAAGGCAAGCTGTACAAAAAAAAAAAAAAAAAAAAAAAAAAAAATCCAGATACTCGCGCCCTCAGAGAGCCAAGGTCAGGCAAGGTCGACCCAGCAAGGTCAATCTGCCTGTGCAATCACTCTGCATAAACTCCCAAGCAGGAGAAAGCAACACATGGCTGGCCAAAGCGCTTATGCCAAGGCTGCGGCTGACAAATAATGATAATAATAAAATAATAACGCTAATATGAAATACAACAATAACAAACGGAACTAATAATATATCTAGAGCATAATAAATAAAAATATACATATGCAGAAACATATTCTGGATGTAAATAAGTGAAATTTGCAATAACATTCAATAACGATATTAGTTATAACAGTATTCATAATGAAAGGACATTTACCAAGTATGCTGCCAAAAAGAAAAATAATTATATATATATATATATATATATAATATATATATATATATATATATATATAATATATATATATATTCAATCAATGAATCACTCAAAAAGACACATCATCAAACACATAATAATTAATAAATTAAAAAATAGAGCAATATAATTAGAAAACATGACAGATAGATCAACATACAAGGTACTTAATAACAAAACACACCGGATAGCATACAGGACAAAAGAAAACAAAACAAACAAAACAAATAAAAAAAGGTACAAATCTGACAGAAATAATATGAAACATGAAACAAAAGGGAATAAGAAAAAAAATGCGGGAATAAACGAACTGCAAAGAGAAAGACAAATGTAAGCAATAATATAATAAGACGAAAAAGGGCATAAGAGAAGACAGATAAAGCGAATGAAAGGAAGAAACGAGAGATATCTGCAGGCTGGAGAGGAACATAAAATAAATGAAAGAAAAAAAGAAGAAATGAGAAAGCAAGCGAGAGAAAAAAACTGACGAGAATCATGATAAAACATAACAGAAAACATGAAAGATAATCAGAATAAAATACGAGAATAGATTAAATCTGAGAGAGAGAGAGAGAGAGAGAGAGAGAGAGAGAGAGAGAGAGAGAGAGAGAGAGAGAGAGAGAGAGAGAGAGAGAGAGAGAGAGAGAGATTGATAGAGAAAAATTAAAAATAAAAGGGATAGAAGGAGAAGAAAGAAAGAGAGAGAGATAGATAGAGAAAAAAATAAATAAAAGAGATAGAGGGAGAGAGAGAGAGAGAAGAGATTGATAGAGAAAAATTAAAAATAAAAGAGACAGGGAGAAAAAAGAAAGAGAGAGAGAAACTCGAAATAAAGGAGAACAAACAAAGAACGGCCTAAACTCGAACTTAAGAAAATGGAAACGAATCAAAAACGAAAAAGCAAAACAAAACAAAAACGCCAAAAAAGGAAAAGGAAATAATAACAAAAAAGAGACAAATCATTAATTTATTTACTTAATCCTTAAAATCTATTTTCACATACCATATACCCAATCAAATCACACACACACCCAAAAGCACAAACACCGACACACATAATATACACACTCACGCCCATACCGAACTTACACAGACAAAAAAACAAAAAAAATCACAGAAATGAACAAAAATAACCGCCATAACGGACACAACCGTCATAACGGACACAACCGAACCAAAGAAAATGGGAAATTTCAAATAAAACGACCAACCGAACCAAAGAAAACGGGTAAAAAAAAAAAAAACTCACCCTGTTGGAGTGGGCGTGAGAATGCTGCTGCTGCTGCTGCTGCTGTTGTGCCTGCGTGGGTCTGGGCGTGTCGTACTCGGAGTCGGAACTGTCGCGGGCGGGGTGTGGGGCGTACGTGGAGGGCGGGCGGGCGCGGGAGTGGTGCTGCACGTCCACGTTCTCGTAGTCGGACTGTGGGCGGGGTGGGGGGAGTGGGAGGAGAAGAAAAAGGGGGGGAGGAGGAGGAGAAGGGGGCGGGAGGAGAAGAAAAAGGGGGAGAGGAGGAGAAGGGGGAGAGGAGGGGGGGGGGAGGAGGAGAAGGGGGGGGGAGGAGGAGGAAGGGGGCAGGAGGAGGAGGAGGAGAGGAGGAGGAGGGGAGAAGGGGCAGGAGGAGGAGGAGGAGGAGGGAGGAGGGGGGGAGGAGGAGGAGGAGAAGGGGGAGGAGGAGGAGGAGGAGGAAGGAGGGAGAGGAGGAGGAGGAGGAGGAGGAGGAGAAGAAGAAAGAAGGGAGGAGGAGAGGAGGAGAGAAGAAAAGGAGGAGGAGGAGGAGGAGCAGAAGAAGAAGAAGAGAAAAAAAGGAGGAAAGGGAGATGGAGAGAAGGAAAGGGAAAGAGAAAAGGAGGGGGTGGGAGGAGGAGGAGAAGAAGACGAGCAGAAAAAAAAGAGGAGGAGGCAAAAAAAGATGAGAAAGAAAAAAAATGAGTAGGATAAGGAAAAGGAGGAAGAAAAAAGAATTAGCACAAGAAGAGAGACACGAAGATGTAGAAGGGAGTAAAGATGGAACAAAAGGGGAATAGGACGGGTATTGGAATAGGGACAAATAAAAAAAGGAAAAAAGAACAAAATTACCAAACGGTTTTTGTACTACAGAAATATGAAATAAATATAAAACATTTTTTTCTTTAATACAAACAACAATAACTACAATAACAACAATACCACCAAAAAAAAACATAACATCGACAAAAAAACTACAATAACAAATACAATAAAAGAAAAAGGGGAAAAAAAACATCCGGCGAAGGGCATGGCGGGAAATTCAAAAATAACGAACGAATTCTATACTCGACGCGCTGTGCAACCTCTTTCGTAGCGGAAAATGGACGATTTCAAGTGATTTCAAGGTAATAATAATAACATTGATAATAAAAATTTCTCCGTGGATATTGATACGATGTAGATACGATTTTCTACAACTCCGGGAGAGGGAGAGATCAAATGGGCGTGAGAGAGAGAGAGAGAGAGAGAGAGAGAGAGAGAGAGAGAGAGAGAGAGAGAGAGAGAGAAGAGAGAGGAGAGAGAGAGAGAGAGAGAGAGAGAGAGAGAGAGAGAGAGAAGAGAGAGAGAGAGAGAGAGAGAGAGAGAGAGAGAAGAGAGAGAGAGAGAGAGAGAGAGAGAGAGAGAGAGAGAGAGAGAGAGAGAGAGAAGAGAGAGAGAGAGAGAGAGAGAGAGAGAGAGAGAAGAGAGAGAGAGAGAGAGGAGAGGAGAGAGAGAGAGGCGAGCAGAGAAGAGAGAGGGAAGCGGGAGCGAAGAGAGAGAGAGGGAGGGAGCGAGAGAGAGAGAAAGAGAAAATAAAAGAGATAGAAATAAAAGAAGAAGAAAGAGGGCAAGTGAGACAGAGAGAGAGAGAGAGAGAAATTCTACCATAGTACGCCCTTGCATTAGTCGCCCTCCCCTTTTCTCTCAGTCTCCCCTCACACTCCCTCTCTCGACGTCCCCCTCGCTAGCTTGGTCCTCCGTTTTCTATGACTTCCACATACCTAGACTATTTTTCTTCTCTACGTCTGTCTCTGCTTCTCTCTACCTATCCCATTCCTCCCTTTCAAATCTTACTTATCATTTCCCCATTCTCTCTCCCTCTCTCTCCCTCCCCCCTCCCCTCTCTCTCTTTCTCTCCTCGCTCTCTCTCTTTCTCTCTCTCTCTCGCTTTCTCTCTCTCTCTCTCTCTCTCTCTATCTCGCTTTCTCTCTCTATCTCGCTTTCTCTCTCTATCTCTCGCTTTCTATCTCTCTCTTTCTTTCTCTTTCTCTTCTCTCTCTCTCTCTCTCTCTCTCTCTCTCTCTCTCTCTCTCTCTCTCTCTCTCTCTCTCTCTCTCTCTTCTCTCTCTCTCTCTCTCTCTCTCTCTCTCTCTCTCTCTCTCTCTCTCTCTCTCTCTCTCTCTCCCTCTCTCTCCTCTCTCTCTCTCTCTCTCTCTCTCTCTCTCTCTCTCCTCTCTCTCTCCTCTCTCTCCTCTCTCTCCTCTCCCTCTCCCTCTCTCCTCCTCTCCCTCTTCCCTCTCCCTCTCTCCCTCTCTCTCTCTCTCTCTCTCTCTCTCTCTCTCTCTCTCACTCCCACTTACACTTTCCCAATCCCCTTTTCGTTTACCCATATATTGCATTCAAATCTCCCCCTTTCGGTTATACGTTCGCTGAAACATGCCATTAACTATATTTCCCTTTTTCTTCAGCCCCCCCCCCCCTCCCTTCGCCATACACTTCGCCGTACGGATAAATCATAAAGCAAAATAACTGGGGACAGAAACGGCCGGTTTGTTAAAATTGTGCCAGGCCCGACCCAATGACTTTTCATAAATACAGACGCAGAAATAAAGGCATATCTGTCTATATATCTGATAGATAAACATTTAACCATCTATTTGCCGGGTAGATGTGCATGTCCAGACTGATAAACATGCATTTATTTCTTTATTTATGTGTGTGTCAAGTATACGAATATTCCTTGGGTCGGACCACGCACAATTCTAACAAACCGACCGACAGACACGAATAACGACGTACATCTAGACAACGAACAGCTCTGACACCAAACTACCAAACTACCAAAGTACCAAAGTACCATCTCGCTTATCTACGGACACATCTACTACCCAAACTACCCAACTACCCAAACTACCCAAACTACCCTTTCAAACGGCTAATCACACAAGGCCATTTTTCTAAACTACTCTCAACGAATACAGCTTTTAATGCTAAATAGATAGAACGATCTAAACAGACACGATAGAATCTTCTCTCTCATTCTATGCTAATTAGTAGATTATCATTCACGCAAATTTCTCCATTAATCAGCTCCGCATGCTTTTTATATAGCAATTAACAACTATATCTATATTCAGACATGCATTTTTTTTTTTAATATACAACATGACTCTCCGAACCAAAATAATATCCAATTAAAAAAAAGAGAAAAAAAATGTCCAATTACAAAAAAAAAAAAAAAAAAAAAAAAAAAAAAAAAAAAATCAATATAAAAACCGTGTACTGTAAGGGCGAATAGATAAATATGATACACAACTGTACACTGCAAGGGAGAAAGAGAAATAATATGATAATACAGATGCCGAGAGAATAATACATACTGTGTCCACATTTTCATAGTCGGACTGCATGCAAAGAAGAGGGGGGGGAGGGGGGGGGGAGAGAAAGAGAGATCGACACGTCAAGACACCGACGAGAAGAATAAAAAAAAACGAATAAATGAATGAATCAATAAATAAGATAAAGCCATGAATCAATAAATAAATAGAAGACATATAAAAAAAAAAATTAAATCACAGATGCATGTCACTTTTGAAGGAGATCAGTGAAGCCTCTCCATCTATTTTTAGAACGTATACATACATTGAAAAAAAAATAATCATGAACACTTTCATTAAAAGACAAACAAATAGAGTTTTTAAAAGAGTTTCCGCTTTAGGACATACACACATACATGAAATCTTAGATAACAGATTTAGGTTAAGTGCACAGACACGCACATGGTCAATGATGCAACGATTATCAACATATGCAATTATTTTGTCATTCGTTTACTGATAACAATATGCAACTCAGAGCTATATATATTTTTTCTAACTAAAACAATAACTTATTACTAATATTTTTTTATCAGACAATGGGGGGGTGAGAAAAAATAAAAGGATATTATTGCAACCATTAAATGCAATCCAATGCAAAGCTGCTTTAGTTATATCATCAAAATGCAATAAAATATAAAATCCAAATATAACCAGAAATAACAATATATTATTTTTCAAGACATAAGATAAGTTAGTCTCATATATTCTCAAGATCCTAAAGATCTATACGTACGTTATTTTCTCAAGACATCTTAAAAAAATATTCCAAAGACGATTAAAATAAACCCGATGCCAATCTATTAAAAAATAAATAATAATAATAAATAAATAAATAAAATAAAGAGCGGCAACGATAATCGAACGCAAGTTGTCGTTTTTTTTTGGCGGGAAAATCAAAAAAACAAAAGAGAGAGAGAGAGAGAGAGAGAGAGAGAGAGAGAGAGAGAGAGAGAGAGAGAGAGAGAGAGAGAGAGAAAGGCGGCAGACGTATGCTCTTCGCCACTTTCTCCATCCTACCCGCTTCATTCTTCCCCTTTCTCTAATCTCACCGCAAACAAGAAATAAGGAAAAGAAAAGAAAAAAAGAGAGAGAAAAGAAAATACAAACCCAATTACGGACTTGAATCGGAGATTTCCTTTTAAGCTCATCATTTCGGAGAGGAAACGAATGACGCTCTGAGTCAATTTTTTGTGTGTGACATCCCTTTTCTTTTTTCTCTTTTTAAATACAATCCGACATCAAGTTCTTCAAAAGCTCGTAATCTAAAGTTAATAAACAGTCTAATAACAAAATCTATCATGGCGCCTAAATTTTTTTTTCTAATCTTTTAGGGAAAATGGTAGTTTCTTTCCATATTCCCTCATAAGCGCGATTAAACTACAAAAAAATGTATGACATCGTAAAATAATAATAATAATGATAATAATAATAATTGAAAAAAACATATAGCATATATATTCAAATAAAAAATGTATGACATCGTAAAATAATAATAATAATAATAATAATAATAATAATAATAATAATAATAATGATAATTAGAAAAAAAACATTTAGCATATATATTCAAATAAAAAATGCATGACATCGTAAATAATATATAATAAATAATAATAATAATAATAATAATAAAACATATAGCATATATATTCAAATAAAAAATGCATGAAAACGTTAAATAATAATAATAATAATAATAATAATAATAATAAAAAACATATAGCATATATATTCAAATAAAAAATGCATGACATCGCAAAAAAAAATAATAATAATAACAATAATAATAATGATAATAAATAAATAATAAAACATGTACATATATATTCAAATAAAAATGCATGACATCGTAAATAATAATAATATAATAATAACAATAAAAAAACATATAGCATATATATTCAATAAAAAATGCATGATCGTTAATATAATATAATAATAAATAATAACAATAAAAAAAATTAGCATATATATTCAAATAAAAAATGCACATCGTTAAATCATAATAATAATAATAATAATAACATTAATAAAAAAAACATATAGCATACATATTCAAATAAAAAATGCACGACATCGTTAAAATCATAATAATATAATAATAACATTATCTAAAAAAAAAAAAAAAAAATAAAACATATAGCATACATATTCAAATACAAACCACGGAAGTTAGATTAGCGAAAAAAAAAAAGTCGCCAACAGCGAAGAATTACAAGGAAGCGTTTCCACGGCCAATAAAACCCTCGCGACGCACACACACTCGTACCCAACGACCGTGCATGACCGTCATGAATACCCCCTCTCCCCTCCTCCCCTCTCCCCCCTCCCCCCCTCTCACTCCCTCTGCCCCGTCCCCCCCCGCGATATAACCATTCCTCTCTCCTCTCTCTCTCTCTCTCTCTCTCTCTCTCTCTCTCTCTCTCTCTCTCTCTCTCTCTCTCTCATCTCTCCTCTCTCTCTCTCTTCTCTCTCACTCCCCTCTCCCTCTCCCTCTCCCTCTCCCTCTCCCTCCCCCTCTCCCTCTCCCTCTCCTCTCCTCTCCTCTCCCTCTCCCTCTCCTCTCTCCCTCTCTCCTCCCTCTCTCTCCCTCTCTCTTCTCTCTCTGGGTCATGACTTTCCCCCCGCCGCCGCATGACCTGCCCTGACCTGCCATCGCCATAAGATCATTTCGAGATCGTTGGGCTTAAACTGCCCCTCGTAGCAATTGCAGCAGCCGCCAGCGCCATGCAAGCCTCTGCCCAGCCAGCCAGTCAGCCGATCGCTGTCATGCAGTCATGGCAAGCACACATCCATATGCCAATCACCTCCGTGCGAACAGATATAAAAAAAAAAAACTCCAGAGAGAAAAATGAAAAAGAGAAAAAAAAGTAAAAAAGGAAAACCGAAAAAAAACAAAAAGGAAAACGAAGAGTATAAAAAAAAAACAAAAGAAGAGCGGGAAACGCGCCCGCACCTCCCATCAGCCAATCACCATTCGCCACGTCAATCACCCGTGCGGCGGCCACTCATAACGCGCTCCATCGACAATCACAGAAGGCCTTCACGCGTGCTGCCTCTGCCTTTGTTTTACCATGCCTATCAGCGGCCAATCACGTGCAAAGTCGCAATGGAAAGTCGTTGAACTCCGACCAATTGCCGGGTTTCTGAATAAAAAAAGGATTTAAAAAATATCTATCTTTTCCAAAAAAAAAAATATATATATATATATATAAATATATCTTTCGACCTATCACACCCGCGAAATCAATCCAAATACGAAAAAAATGGATAAAACAGTGAATAAAATAATTTTTTGCCACTCTTGGATTTACAATCACAGCTCGATAAGAAAAAAAATCTTAAATCAATCACTGACACACACACACACACGTACAAGTCCGCACTCGTACACGCAGACACACACACATAAAAAAGAAAAGATACAAAATAATAATTTCTAAAATTATCTTTCAGTAATTCATAGTTGGAAGAATCAACACTTACTCCCAGTAAAAGGCAGATTTCACGCACATTAACAATCCTAAAACACAACAAACAACTCCCATCCGCCCACTCCTAGCGAGACCCGAACCCACCGCCCACTCCACCCACCCCCACTAAACCACACACTCAAACCCCTACCCACCCGGAACCCCTAAACCACCCACCACCACCCACCCAAACCCCCTTACCCACCCAACCCACCGCCCACCCGGAACCCCTAACACCCAACCCACGAACCACCACTCCAACCCCGCCCACCCGGAACTCCCGACCACCCAACCCACCACCCACCCCAACCACCGCCCACCCTACCCACCCCCCCAACCCCCACCCACCCTAACCCCAACCCCCCAACCCCCCCTCCCCACCCAAAGACCGCCCACTCGAAACCCCGCCCATGCTACCCACCTGTTCTTGGCTCTTGAAAGTAGATGGTCTCGTAGGCGGGGGGCGTCCTGCTCTCCGTCGGGCGTGGGCGAGGGCGGGCACATCGACCTTCTCGGGGCTTTGGCGGCGGCACCGGCTGCGGGCGGCGGAGTGGGCGTTGGCGTGAGTGAGGAGGAAATGGAGAGAAAAAAAAAGAGAGAGAGAGAGAGAGAGAGAGAGAGAGAGAGAAGAGAGAGAGAGAGAGAGAGAGAGAGAGAGAGAGAGAGAGAGAGAGAGAGAGAGAGAGAGAGAGAGAGATAGGAGAGAGGAGGTGAGGAGAGGAGGGAGGGAGGGAGGGGAGGGAGGGAGGGAGAGAGAGAGAGAGAGAGAGAGAAGAGAGAGAGAGAGAGAGAGAGAGAGAGAGAGAGAGAGAGAGAGAGAGAGAGAGAGAGTAGAGAGAGAGGGAGAGAGAGAGAGAGAGAGAGAGAGGAGAGGAGGGAGAGGAGAGAGGGAGAGGGAGAGAGAGAGAGAGAGAGAGAGAGAGAGAGAGAGAGAGAGAGGAGAGAGAGAGAGAGAGAGAGAGAGAGAGAGAGAGAGAGGAGAGAGAGAGAGAGAAGAGAGAGAGAGAGAGAGGAGAGAGAAGAGAAAGGAAAAAAGAAAATTAATAGACAATTAGATACACAGCAGTTTGACAGATGTCCGTGGAGGAGGCGAGACGAAACAGACGGATGAAAATAGAAAGAGGGAGAGAAAAAAAGATAACATTAGTCATTGTAATTTCATATATTTCAAAATACTATAACACAATTCACACATAAAATTATACACAAAACAATACAATTAAGATTCAACTCACCAGTACCACTATATGGCCAAAATGCAAAACAATAACAACAAACGTACAATAACAAAACTAATCAACACAAACCAAAAAAAAAAAAAAACCAAAACCCACAACCAAACAACTAAAACAAAAAACCAAAACCAAACAAAAAAACACTATCAAAGCATTTTTTTAATCTACTTCTTATATACACATCGCGAAAGATAAACACCCAACCAACCAAACAACCAAACAACTAAAAACAACCAAAAAAACAAAAAAAAAAAAAAACACTATCAAAGCATTTTTTTTAAATCTACTTTCTTATATACACATCCCGAAAGACACGGCAGAGTAACAAACAGCCGGTCCTTCTGCGGCTGAGACGGACTTGCAGGGTTTGGACACATCGCCGCCTAGGAGGCCGCTAGTCTGTCCATAATGGTAAATTGCAAAAAAATGGATAATGGTGTGGTTGCAACGTAATGGTAATAATAAATATACAAAAAAACAAAACAAAAACAAAAACAAAAGGAAGATGCAGCAGAAAGGAGGGTAATGAATGTACAATAAAAGAAATACAAACAGAGACGCATATACATGTATATACGCACGTATGCATACATACATACATACATACATACATATACACTGCACAAAGATCAACCTTCATCGACCATTTTACAGAAGGAAGAAGCACGAAAGAGAGGAGAAAAGAGAGAGGCAAAGGAGAACGCAAAATACAATGAGAATAAATCAAATAAATTCAACTTACGACAGCATACGCGCGAAGCCACAAGACTATCAGATTCGCCAAGATTAGCGAGCGACAAAAAAAAAAAACGCTTGCAACAACAACAAAAACAACAACACAACAACAACAACACAACAAAACACGCAACATGATCATCGTCATTAAACAACAACGACAAACGAACGACAAACGACAGCCAATGAACAAGAACAACAAGGACAGCCGACAGGACAAACGCATTCCAGGGGAGAGTGAAGAGGTGAGTGAGAGAGAGAGAGAGAGAGAGAGAGAGAGAGAGCAGGAGACGAGAGAGAAGATGTGAAGAGAGAGAGAGAGAGAGAGACGCAGAGAGAAGAGAGAGAGAGAGCGAGGAGGGAGGAGGAAAGAGAGAGAAAGGAGAGAGAAAGAGAGAGAAAAGAGAGGAGAAAGAGAGAGAAAGAGAGAAGAGAGAGAAAAGAGAGAGAAAGAGAAAGAGAAGGAAAGAGAGAAAGAGAAAAGAGAGAAAGAGAGAGAGAAAGGGAAGAGAAAGAAGAAAGAGATAAGAGAAAGAGAAGAGAAAGAGAAGAGAGAAAGAAGAGAAAGAGAGAAAGAGAAGAAAGGGAGAAAGAGAAAAAGAGAGAAAGAGAAAAAGAAGAGAAAGAGAAAAAGAGAGAAAGAAGAAAGAAAGAAAGAAAGAAGAGAAAGTGAAAGAGAAAAGAAGCCAGGAAACGAGAAACTAAACAAAACAACAGACACATGAACACGCCCCCCCCCACCCTCGCTTCCGCACAAGAGTGGCCGGCCGCATAGGGCTTCTTACACGCCAGTTAAGCCCATAAACGGGGTAGTCAAATAGGCAATGGAAATAATGGCTCCCAAAAGAATGGGTCGCTTAACAGAGGATGTGCACGGCTGTGGGCGCCCAAACGGGAGAGGGTGGCGGGAGGGAGTGTGGATGTAAAATGCGGGGTCGACAACACAAGTACAGCAAAACACATACCCGTGACCGCGTGTGTGTGAGTGGGTAAACAAATATTATAATGTGTACATTGCATACATGTATATTGTGAGTACATAACTCTCACACTATCATATATAATTAATATTTATATAGTATATGCCTATATTATGATAGTATATAGTATTATATATATAGTATATATATATATATAATAGTAGTATATATTATATATATGCATACATACATACAATAAACATCATATACTAACATACAACATATATACATGCATACAGATATTGCATACATACATACAATATTCATTGCATACAATATATATATTTATAATATAATACTTATATTTATGTATTCAGTATATATAATATATATAACAGTGCATACATATAATATATATATATAATATAATAGGTACGTATATATATATACTATATATATATATATAATAAGATTTATATATGAGTATAGTATGTATGTATATATATAATACACAACACATCACACACACATCACTACACACACACACACACTTCAGCACACATCACACACACACACACACACACACACACAGCACACAGCACTCACACACACACACATTGTCGTATGTGTTTTTGCGGATCCTACGAGCACACACACACACACATACACACCACACACGCACACACATAGGCAGTGATGGAGGCATAGGGAACGCATCACAATCGGAACAGGGCATGCGAACGAAGAAAACAAAACATAAACAATGGCAATCGGCATAAACAGCAGGCTTGCTTTGTCCAACCATGCTCATGGGACATTTGGAACAAGAGAGCAAGGAAGAGAAAAGAAGGAAAGAGAGAAAGAAGACTAGGAGAAGAAGAATGGGGGGGGAGAGAATGGGAGGGAAGGAGAGAGAGGGAGACAAGGCGGAGAGGGAGAGGGAGAAGGGAGAGAGAGAAGATGAGAGAGAGAGAGAGAAGAGAAGGGAGGTAGAGAGATGAGGAAGAGAGAGAGACGAGAGAGAGAGAGAGAGAGAGAGAGGAGAGAGAGAGAGAGAGAGGAGAGAGAGAGATGAGAGAGAGACGGGCGACAATGAAACGTATAAAAAATTAAAAAACGCATACTTCGAAAGAAAGAGAAAGAAGAGAAAAAGAGATAAGACAGAAAGAAGAAATCAAGAAAAAAAAAAGCAGAATATTCACAGAACAGAGCAAAGAGAACAAGAAAGACGAGAGCAGCAGAGAAAAGGGAGAGAATAAATACGAGAGGACCAAGATTACGCTCAGGCTAAAAAATAGCATCAAAGTTCCCATTGGAGAGACAATGCATAGCGGAGATACGCTACATATTAGGTGCCAGGGAGGCAGATGGAGGGGAGAGGGGAGAGGGAAAAGGAATGGAGAGAGAGAGGAAATGGGAGAGGGGGAGGGAGGGAGGGAGGGTGAGGGAGGGTTAGGGAGGGAGGAGGAGGGAGGAGGGAGGGGAGGAGGGAAGAGAGGAGAGAGAGAGAGGGAGGGAGGGAGGGAGAGAGGGAGGGAGGGAGGGAGAGAGGGAGAAGGGAGAGGAGAGGGAGAGGGAAGAGTGGAGGGCGAGAGGGAGAGGGAGGGAGAGAGAGGAGAGAGCAGAGGAGGAGAGAGAGAGAGAGAAGAGAGAGAGAGAGAGAGAGAGAGAGAGGGAGAGAGAGACGAGAGAAGAGAGAGAGAGAGAGAAATGGAGAGGGGAAGAGAGACTGGGGCAGGGAAGGGAGGGAAGGGAGGGAGGGAGGAGAGGGAGGGAGGGGAGGAGGGGAGGGAGGGGAGGGATGGGGGAAGGGGAGGGAGGGGAGAGAAGGAGAAGAAGAAGAGAAAAGAAGGAAGATATAGGAGAGAGAGAAATCGAAGAGGCGAGGAGGTGGAGGGAGGAGGAGGGAGCAGGAGAGGAAGGGAGGATGGAAGGAGGGAAGACGGGGAAGGAGGGAAGGAGGGAGGGAAGAGGGAAGGGATGGGAGGGAGGGGAGGGAGGGAGGGACGGGGGAAGGGGGGAGGGAGGCGAGGGAAGGAGGGAGGGAGGGAGAGAGAGAGAGAGAGAGACGAAAAGAGTATGACAGAAAGAGAGAGAGAGAGACGAGAGAGAGAGAGAGAGAAGAGAAGAGGAGAGAGAGAGAGAGAGAGAGAGAGAGAGCAGAGGAGGTGAGAGGAGAGGAGACGAGAGAAGGGAGGAAACAAGAGAGAGAGAGAAAACACGAGAAGAGAAGCAGAAAGCAGAGAGAGGGGAGAGAGAACGAGAGAGAAGGGTCTGACATTAGAAGGGAAAGAGGAGAAAAAGAGAAAGAGAGAAGAAAGAGGAAGTTAGGGATAGGAAGAGAGAAGAAAGGGAGGGAGTGAAGGATGAAGTAGAGAAAGAAGGGGGAGGTTAGGGAGGCGAGGGAGTAGAGGAAGAGAGAGAGAGAGAGAGGGAGAAGAGAGCGGGAGGAGAGAGAGAGAGTAGAGGGAGTGAAGAAAAGAAGAGAGAGAGAGAGGAGAGAGAGAGAGAGAGAGAGAGAGAGAGAGAGAGAGAGAGAGAAGAGAGAGAGAGAGAGGAGGAGATGAGAGAGGAGCACGAGAGAGTGGAGAGAGAGAGAGAGTGAGAGAGGAAGAGAGTAGAGACGGGAGAGAGAGAGACGTGAGT